AATAGAAATTATTTGAACTTTTTCTTGTGATAATTTATTTAAATTTAATTTTAAGTATTTTTTACTTAATTTTTTATAGGTTTGACTAATTAATACTAATTTCATTTTAATATTATAATTTTAAGTAAATTTATTTTAATAATTTTTTATTAAAAAAACTAAAATATTTTAATTTTTTTTAAAAAGAATAGAAATTATTTGAACTTTTTCTTGTGATAATTTATTTAAATTTAATTTTAAGTATTTTTTACTTAATTTTTTTTATAGGTTCGACTAATTAATACTAATTTCATTTTAATATTATAATTTTATGTAAATTAATTTTGATAATTTTATATACCTAATAAATTATAATTGAAAATTCCTTTTCAATTTAAGTGAAAGCAATCAATAAGAATTACATATGTAAATTTTTTTGTTTTTCAATTATTCTCTATTTGTTATATAAAATTATTTAACCAAATTTTATGTAAAAACCAACCTATAAAAACAAATCTAACTGGATGGAGTACAAACCATGTATTCACCATAAAACTACAACTCCTTATTCTAGATTATTAGAATTTATGAAAATATTATAGTCATAATATTTTGGGTATTTTTATTTAAGAGGTCATACTTAATATTGTATATATTCAACTTGTTAACATCATATCATTATTATAAATTTTTAATCTTACATAATATTATAACTATATCATTTCTAATATATTTAATACTATAATAGGATGAAAATATTTCTGAGAGGTTTATTGATTCATTTCCTTTCTACTATTGGTAGCATTTATGAGATTAAAATGTCAATGTGGTGGACAAGTGTCCATGTTTGTTAACCAATATTATCTGTCACAACAAGCATTTGTGGAAGAAAAATGATTCAACCACAATCATATTTCAGTCGTTAAAGTTGAATTAAGGTTATAGATAGCGTTAGGTGATAGTAAGCGGTTGCCCCACAACTTAGAGTCAAAAGTGCATAGGCTACTTTGGTGGATTTTTTTTTAATAATAATTTTTTGATATAATTATAAGAAAATAAGAAAGAAATGTAAAACAATTTTAAAAATTATAAAATAAATAAAAAAATTAAACATTTTTCTATTCATTATCATATCTAAAGAGTAGAATTTAGAGAAAGTACTTGATATTTATTTTTTTAATATAATTTTTATAATAAATTAAACGACATCATTTCAATAGATTAAAAAATTAATTAAAAAAATTTGCTTAAGCGCTTTAAATGTCATTAAGGACGCCTAATAGTTCTTGGGCATGCTTAATTAATTTAAGCAAGGTAAACCACATTGAATTTCTACTCAGAAGTTGATACAAGCAGAATGGCACCACTTAGAGTTTAGGTGACACGTAGGCCTCTTTTTTATGACATTGAGTTGAACAATCTTAATATACACATTATAAGACTAACTTCATTATAAGAGAACAACACATTGTGGCTTGTGGGGTGTATGGTGACTGCTTTGAAAATCCCTTGTTTAAGGATCTGACTTTTGCATCTTTCAAAATTTTCCAATTCCAATTACCTAACCCGCTAACCCATTCCACTTTATACATCGACAATGAGTTAATTAGTAAAATTATAATGCTCCTAACTCCTAAAAATCTGTCAATTTCAATATGACCCTTAAAGCAAGCAATCCATTTGGGTTTTGGTTATCCCTATGCTATGCTATATCTGATAATTTTATGAATATGTTTATAGGTTGATGTTGCTCTTGATTTTTTTATTTCTTCTGGGTTGGCATTCTTACGTTAGCTGTTTGACTTTCAGAATTGCTTCAACCCCATGTTTTCAAAAACAACTTGAACTCCTAATCTTGTTCTCAATCATTGTTGTTGCATCAAGGAACAGGACTAGAGGAGATGATTTCTTGCTAGTACCGAACTAATGTGGACAACATGTTTTCTTTTAGACTCCAGATATCAATTTGTATCTGATGCAAAGGAAGCTGTGTCAGATTACCATAGCATGAGGGATGGAAGACTTAGAAATTATATGTGAAAAGAGATTTTGACAACAAATTCTAAATGACTGCAACAGAATTAGTTTTTTATGAACGATTGTCAGGGGATGTGTCAATCTACTCCCTATTTTACAAATGAAATACATACAAAGAGAGAACGTGGAAAGAAACTCCATTAAGCATTCACCCCGGAGTTTCATGGAAAGCATTCAACCCTATCCAAGTGATCCTAGGAGTCGAGAGTAGTAACAGGATAATCTTGGTAGCCTGTGATGCCTATAATCCTTATTCTTGTATTTGGCTGCAAAATGAAGTCATTAAAGGAAACAAAGCATATTATTTTTGTGTATGTGCATAGATGAGATAATAGATGACAGTTATGAAAAAAGGTAAAAACTTGCTTACCTGTCGATGGCCTATATTTCTCCGATAATTTTTCTTCTTCTTATACTTGAAGACAACAACTTTTGGGTCTAATCCCTGCATTTAAGAGTTACATGTGTGACAAGCAAAGGCAAGGGATAATGCTGACAAGACAAAACCAACCGAGAAGGAAAATGTAAATTAGAATTTAGAAGGCAATAAATTACCTGCTCTTCAACAACAGCATGTACAACAGCATTTGTGACAATGGGTTTTCCAATATAGGTAGTTGTTTTTGTTCCCACAAGCAACACCTTGTTCAGAACAATCTGCGAAAGAGTGAAATTTCAGACATCTTACAGCAACAGGAAAGCTGTAAAAATCCCAAGTCAACCATTAATGAAAATTCCGATTGTCTGGTACAGAAGTTAGTGTAATTGAAGTCACAAAGCATCTACCTATAATTCTGTTCCTTATGCTGCAATAGTAGTAATAAAGTACTGCAACAAAAACGTGCCTGTGCAAAATTTACCAAGAAATACTGCAAAATCCTATTGCTAGTTAAAAGAAAAACATGGGTGTTGGTACCATTGGATATAGGAGACCTGGATATCAGTATATGAACAGAGTTATGGTAACATAGATAACAACTTAATTTTTTGGAACCACAACTAGCGGTTCAAGTCTAATCATGTTGTCAAAAAATTGCAAAAACAAACGTGACATGGTAGGGAAAAAATCAAGTTTTCATTTATAGTAATTGTGGTATTGTTATAAGAACCACTACCATGCCAACATAAGTTTGCACTTGATTGGAAACCCCTTGACGTTCCTCCTTTTTTTCTCTCATTCATATTAATGCTACCATATCAGAGAAGTATAAATGTATAATTTAGATTTTCATTCTAACAACTTATCCATTAATGTGATATTGTGACCCTTCATCTTAGCCAGCAAATACAGCATAGCGCTTTTTAAAAGCATGCCTAAAATACTAAACAGGTTACTGCCCCTGGACTATTCTAGATTCCCTAAGCTAGGCAATGAAAGTAATTTCCCAATATTTTCATTTCAATTTCTTTCAGTAGCCAAGCTTCAGAACTACCGACTATCCTGAAAAAGCATTTCTGTTATAAAGAAACGAAAGTAATTTAACTGAAACTCAACCAGGCAAGACATGCCCCCTTCCTGCCAAACAAGCTCTCAGGATTAAAAACCTACATATGAATAAATAAAGGTGCCCTAAAAAAGACATTTTGGCCTACCTATCTGATAACTTTAAAGATATTTTGGCTTCTTTTTGTTAATAAGTTAGGGTACTAGTTACACAACTGAATGGATGCAACAGCGAGGATTGAGGTTTCCATACAATTCAGCAATCAAGACAAAGCATCTACATGCTGATGCAGCCAACCAACTAGATCATGGTAGCAAGCTCTTCATCCTGGAACATACAAGTTACACTATACAGATTGCTAGAATGGTCCAATTCAAGTGGTTTACAATATTAAAATTAAGAGATGCAACAAAAACTAACCAGTTTTCAAGTAATCAGTAAAAGCATAAAAACCAAAAATAATCTTTAAAAAACATATACCTTATCATCGACATTTGCACCTTTTAGCCTCTGAGTATAGATATATCTTCCAGGGAAAACAATATACTGGCGAGAACCAACCTATATTAACCGGAAAACAGATCAGAGATGCAGTAGATAGCCCAAAACCAGAACATCATTTGGGAAACTACTAAGTTACTTGAGAATAATCAGCCATATCATATGGGCCAGCACAGTTTCTCAGGAAATGGGAAAAGACACAAAATTTATTTAAAAACCACCAATACAATTCGAAATTCCAGATGGGTATTCAGAGAACCGTTCATAAAAACAGTATTATCCCAATGCCCAACTCACCATAACAACAGCATAAATGTCTTCACGCTTGAGGTCCTCCTTGGTGGCCGTCACAACTTGCGCCGGTTCAGGCGCTCTTTCGTCGAATTCAGCCTCGATTAAGGCACTCTCAGACTCGGAGACTTTGGGAACAGGCGAAAATGCCGGTTTTGTGAAGAGGATGGGAGGGGACGCAAGCTTCAAAGAATTGGGTTTGAAGAGAGAAATAGAAGATTTTGAGGGGAAAGTTAGAGGGTTCTGGTGATGAGAGACTTTGCATTGAGCAGAGAAAGAAGAGCATAGAGCGAGCGTTGAAGAAGACGAGGCCATTTTGAAGCACAAAGAGCTCTCCGTCTTTGCACCTATGCTAAGTGCTGTCGGAGTTATCCTATCCCATCCAAATTCTTTTTGAATGACCGATTTGCCCTTTAACTGGAAATGTAGTGTCTCAAGATATTTCTATTTGGGCTGTGGAAACCAGTCTGGCTAATCGGACTGTAGATAATTTTTTAATTATTTTTTTTAACATATTAAAATTATTTACATATTAATAGAAAAAATAAAAATTAGATTTGATGAAATTCGAAAAATAATTCACAAAAGTTGAATAGTCTTAACACAAGTTAATGTTATTGGATCGAAAAGAACTGTTTATTTTTCTAATCACTTATTAAAGGAGAATATGTTGAGTAATCTAATAAGATTTAAATTATACAATAATAAGTATGGAATAAAAATTGAATGCTTGACATTAGAAACCTCCTCCGTCTAATCATTTATATTTTATAATTTAATGTAGTTTAACTATAAAATAAGATTATCTTCTAAACATGGTTTTACCATTAAAATTGTATCATAATGGAATTACAACCATTAAATGGACCATCCCACAATCAAGGGATATTTATTATAACAATTTGAAACAACTATTAGTGGTTTTATTTAATTTAATAATTTACAATTGTTATTATTATTAATTTAAATACTTTATTTATTAAATTTAAAAAAATCATTAATCATTAATTTTAAATCATTATACAAATAATTTCTCAAAAAAATTTACTAATTATTAATTTTAAACCGCTATACAAACAGCCTCTCAAATGCACTCATCTAGTAGTTACTCCATGATTTTACAATCTAGTTTATAACACACTTTTTTGTTTTGTTTTTTTTTATTATTTTTATTTTTTGAACTTTTTGTCATAAGACGGATTCGAAACTCGTCCAGGGAAAAAGGATATACATTTTTTCAATGGCATTAACCATTGAGCCATAAGGACCAAGTGCATAACACACTTTTTTATTTTTATTTTTTTAACATATTTTGCAAAGAGCAGATTTCAAACCTTGTACGAGAAAAATTACACCGACGGCTAATGTCACAAGGGCCTCAGGGGCCCAGGTGCGCATAACACACTTTTCTATTATTAGTAAATTTGTAGGAAATTCGTATTTTGTTTTAAAAATAATTTAATACATTGAAAAGTTGCTATTACCAAAACGGAGTTTCTTTTTTTTGCAATTTATCTTATATTTATGTACAAAATTGCCATTTTCCCTCTAATTCCCAGCATCAGTCTCAATTTGTGGCTTCCACCTTTACCCCCAAAACAATAAAAATAAAAAATAAAAAATCTAATTCAAGAATAAAATACTAGAATTAAGCAATCAAGGATTTGCAGCAACGTTCCATAGTATAGAGTGTTTTCAGTTCTCACAAAATTCATCAACCTAGAGGACCTCAAAAGGTCAGTGTATCAAGGAGCTTCAACTTGGTTGTGATTGGGGTTGTGTTTAAGATTACTGTAAAATATTGTAATTGTAGTTGTAGTTATATTTATAATAAATTATATTATAATTGTGATTAAAAATTATTATAATATTTAGTTATTTATTTCATAAAAATATTATAAATGAAATATGATAAAATTTATTAATTATTAATTAAATTTTAAAATTATTATAAAATATATAATTATTAAAATAGATAATATTTATTTTTTTGATAATTTAAGTATTTTAATTTATTATCATTATTAAAATATTATAAATTATAATATAATTAAATTATACAAAATTAAATTTTAATGAATAATTTTATAATTATATTAAATATTAAATATTCTCCATAAAAAAAACAACCAAAAAGCTTCAAAATAAAGTTTCTGACTTTATATATAAAATTACTGTAAATTATAATATAATTAAATTATACAAAATTAAATTTTAATGAATAATTTTATAATTATATTAAATATTAAATATTCTCCATAAAAAAAACAAC